GATCGTTTTCAGACAAACTATCAGAATCACATGATGCTCGTCTGACTCTTTATGATGAACCAATCACCATCTTTCGGCTGAATGTCTGATGGACACCATATTTACCTGATGAGAGTCTCAGCAGCTAATTAGTCTTGTAGTGTAGAGTGGTTGCTGTGGTAACATGCTCCTGTCTCCTCTTCAGAGCCCGCCCTCATCGCCAAATCTTCGATCCTATTGGATGTGAAGCCGTGGGATGATGAGACGGACATGGCGAAACTGGAGGAGTGTGTCCGCAGTATACAGATGGACGGGCTCATCTGGGGACAATGTAAGAACATTACTGCAATAATACATTACTAGTACATGTTATTGATCAGTGACAACAGAACTGATGATGATCTATTACACCATCTTTCGGCTGAATACGTGATGGAAACTTAAAGATCTGAAAACCCTGCAGATAAAATCAAATATCTTCTGCTCAGATTAAGATATGGATCACTTATTGGTCTGCTCTGACTTGTTTCTTGTAGCCAAACTGGTTCCTGTGGGTTACGGCATCAAGAAGCTGCAGATTGGCTGCGTTGTCGAAGATGACAAGGTGAATAAATTAAACCGACTACCTTTTCTGTACAGTTTTGAGTTTCCTCACAGAAGTCCCTTGTTTTGTTGCGTTTGTTACCTGAAGCTTTTATTTTGTATATCCAGGTGGGCACAGACCTCCTGGAGGAACACATTACTGCCTTCGAAGATTTCGTTCAGTCGATGGATGTCGCAGCGTTCAACAAGATCTGAAACTAACATGTTGATAATAAAGAGAGAAGAAAAAAAAAAGCCCTTGAGCACAAAGTGAAGTTGTCGTCATTTTTACATAATAAATGTCACCAAAAAGAATCTAAAAGTTTATAAAAGTTATTTTACCTTTGTATGTTACAGTATTAATATTTAAATGCAACGCCTTCATCTGTTCAAGTAGATGTGTAATGAGTCACATTTAAATAAAGCTAAAACCTACAAACTGTCCAAGTTTAAACTCTTATCACATCGGAGAACTGTTCATCTTAATCTGCATTAAACCATTTTAAATAAAATGTTTAGAGATTGTAGTTCCCGCTCTGGCCGAGGATGGCAGCACCTTTGCAGCAGGGCCACAGTGTCGCTCTACCTGAATTTGTACAGCAGAAGAAGAAACAGACCGGAAACTAAACAGAGTGGCGGAGCAGCGCGCGGAAGAAGCTTTTGATTTGTGAAAGTAAACAAACACCTGCAGGTAAACAAACTAATCGATGATCGATTATTGAATCTTTGCGTCACTGATCTAAACCAGCTCATCACCTCCTCTGTGCACCTGCCACTCAGCTAACAGCATGCTAACAGTTAGCCACCTGCTAACAACAGTCATAACGGCAGAGCCACGTCACCTGCAGCGTCACCATGGTTACTGTTAGCCCGGGTTAACTGAGTTAAATGGTTTAATGAAGCGGGTTAAAGTGAAAGGTGTCATCGCAGGTAACATCGAGATAATGGACCATTCGGGAGCAGGAAGAGCTGAGCTGTGATTGGTCAAAGCTGAAAAAGAAAAACTTAATACTTAATATTTACATTTATGAGCAGGTTTGTTAATTAACAATTAGACTTTACGTTATAAATATTGATCCACCTTCAATGATTTTAAAATGAAAGACAAATTGATAAAAGGTTAGACAGTTATCCTGTATAACAACTGATCACTGGTAGAATCATACCACGTTTGTTTAATGTTAATTTTAGGATTTAGATCAGATTGAAATAATCATAAAATCATTGTTTGATCAGGCTCATGGACTCTCCACCTGAGCCTCTCACCTGGTTACTGTTGGTTACAGCATGGAGCGCTGTGATCGGACAGACACTTCACTGACTGCTCTGCCTCCAGGTGAGACGTCACCTCCGTTAAAGATCTTTAATCAGGTCAGAGGCCTTTTACTGTGAGAAAGGTGGTAACCTGTGCTGAGCCTGCTGTTTGACACAGAAAATTAATCATTGATTTGATTATTGTTTATAATCGATTATTAAAGGTCTTCAACAGTTAAACAAATGTGTGTGTCAGGTCACCACTCAGCAGCAGGATGTCTCACTCCTCTGACCGAGGTTAAATCTAAACACTTAATTCATTTGACATTTTCCACTGAATAAACTGTGTGTGTGTGTGACAGGTGACCAGAAGAGGACAGAGTCATCCAGCAGGTGAGTGATCAGTGATCAAAAGCTCATACTGATCAGTAGTGAACTCATACCTGTATCGCTGCCCCTGCTGGTCAGTTACTGTTATTGATCCCATTATCAATTGCTCCATCCTGAACTCAGCTGTTTGCGACGGGTGATGTCATCTCTGTGACTGACAGGATGTGGGCGGAGTCCGAGCCGGGTCCTTCCAGGTGTCAGCCGTGCAGACAGGGTTACTGTGGTTACTGCAGAGTCCTGTACAACAACCTGGAACAGGTATACACACACACCTGAGTCACATGACCTCAACTATCCAATCAGTCACTGATGTTAATGTGATCACTCTTGTCTCAGCACCTGTCCAGTCTCAGACACCTGGATTCAGTCAGGACATCTTCCAGATGCGCCGTCCCCTCTGCAACCACCAGCTGCAGTAAACTGACGCTGCTGGAGCGTTTCCTGCAGGATGTCCTACAGCACCACCCACACCGCTACAGCGACCCCAGGTAACCAAAAGGAACGCAGTTGTCTGTCACCTGATTCAGGGGACCTCACTCCTGTCTGTCTTCTTCAGGCCATCTCATGCTGACCTCCCGTCTGTCTCCGGCCTTCCGCTACCAAGGGCGGAGCTTGATGAACTACTTTTCTTGGACAACGACAGCCGGTCGCTAGGTACCAGAGAACAACTGCTTAGCTCGGACGACACGTCATATCAGCCCACCAATCAGCAGGAAGACAACAGCATTCACAGCCAATCAGAAGATAGTGTTACAAAGGGGGCAATCCAGGACAGGCTGTCTGCACCAATCACAGATGGTGAGGACAATGGGGCCATCCCCAAAGGGCTCAAACACACACAATCGCCACTCCCACCAGCACAAACCCCTCTCCCACACCTTCAGGCCTCGCAATCCGTCCACAGGAAAGCTCACAGGAAAACGAATAGGAGGAAAACCAGCGTTGACTCCTTACCCCCCTCCAGGGGCCCCGGGCCCCCGCCACATACAGACCTTATTCAAGGACCAGGGGCTGCACAGGGGCCCCGCTCCCCCAAAGACCTGAGGCCCTGGCAAAACTTGCAGAGAGACAGGAGGGCGGGGTTTAAAGACAAGGCGTTCTCGGACAGCAGCGACACTCTGGACCAAACCATCGAGGAGGTCTGACCAAAGTTTATTGAGATGTCCTAAAAGAACGTTTTTCATTTTGCACACGACTGTAGACAGAACTTCAAACACAACTTTATTTAAAACTGTTTAATTTAATTTATTCTCAGTAGTTTTAATAATTAAGTAAATTAAATCAATAATTACTTTGAGGTTGCGTGAACATTAAAGTCAGAACAAATGTCTTTGTGGTTACAGATGTTTCTTGTTTCCACCTTAGGTCATCCAGATGTGCTGTCATGGCATCACATCCACTTCCTGCCAGCAGGAGGAGACAGAAAGCTTCCACTTCAGCCTTCCTGTCTCCATGGAAACACAGAGTGATGACTGGGACTCACCTGTGCAGGTGGCGTTGCGGCCGTCGCTCGCACCTGTACAGGTGAGTTCGGCAGAGGGGCGGGACCTGGGTCGTCTGATGGACGTCCAGGTTCAGCTTGACGACCAGGTGTACTCACACCAGCTTGACTCCGCCCTCCACAGTAAAGCAGGGGGCGGGGCCACACAGGGGTTCTGGACTCTGCCCATCGAAGAGATTTTGCCGGCCCCCGCGTTTATCCCAAAATCCTTCAGGGGGAAAACCTGGGCCCAGATCGAGCAGGAGGACGAGGAGAAGGTGGAGAGACTGGTCGGTCAGTTCAGACGAGGACGATTCATTTGTTACTTCGACAGCGAGTCTCTGGCCAGGTGATGTCATCAACACATGATCAGTCATATGTAGTTTTATATTTCTAAACAGTAATTGTTCATGTTCCTATTTAACATGAAAT